TTTTTTTTCTCTCTCCTGTTCGTGGGGCCCTGACTGAGGCCACCTGGCTGACTGAAGTGCAGTTCCAAACTCCGTGCTCGACTTTTCTGCATACGCCGAGTTTGGACTGCATAGCAAACTCCGCACGGGACTGGAATCAAAAAGACAGTTCCAAATGCTTTTAGGAACTGCTTTCCGCCCTAGTTACCCCCCCCAAAAAAAACAAGCCTCCACACAAAAGTCTACCCTATATGAGTATGAGCGTGGCCACACCACTCCCGAAATGTGCAAAATGAGAACGAAATTCCAGCTATAACGTGGCCAGATGCAGCGGCCACATTTTTGTCTTTTTCACATTTCGAGAGCGTCGCCACACCACTTCCGAAATGTGCAAAATGAGAACGAACTTCCAGCTATAACGTGGCCAGATGCACCAACCACATTTTTGTCTTTTTCACATTTCCAGAGTGGTGTGGCGGGGCCCTATATTAGCCTATTCGACAACCAGCTATCTTCAAAAGAAAAAAAATCTTCAAAAAAAGAAAAAAGAAAAAAAAGCAAACGGCCAAATCCTTCGAGGAGCCAAATAAAAAAAAAAGCTCTCCCTCGAGCCGTCATTAGCCAGTAGTAGTAGCCTTAACCTTGACTCTTTTTTGTTTTGCCTATTTTCGAATGCCTATTTTCGAATCAATCACTCCATCTACCCTCCGTTGTATACCTTTGAAAAAGTCCCTCCGAAAAAAACTGTTTGCCAGAAAAGGAAAACAAGTCGCCTCCCATCAAAACCCCCCACCGACCTCGTGAAAAGACCGATTGCCCAATGCGTGCAACGACCGGTCTGTCTCCTAGCAGCGACCGCACCCTTCCCGCCTCCCTCTAAAAACCAAAAACACCCCCGCCAACCTCAAATGAATCCCACGACATTTCCCGAAACGGAAAAAAAAGCTTGCAGTCAAGGTAAGCGCAGCCTCTGGCTGCTCAATGCCACTCGGGGGGACCAACGGCATATCTCTAGGTGGCGGGCGCCAAGCTTGCCCAGGAAGGTGCATGAGGCCAATGGGGATTTTTTGAAAGGAATGCCGCAAGCTCGAGTTGTACTGGACTGTTCCTTCCCGTTGAGACGGCGCTTTTGTTTTTTGTTTTTTTGAAAGACCGCGCTTTTCAAGTCATCCCGCCAACTTGCACACGGGCATCTGAGAGCGTACTCATACTACCCTTTCCGGGACGTATCTGGCGGCAATTGCGGGCTTCCACGGATRAATGTGACCGCAATTTGCGACCGGAGCTGAGTCTCAAAAGTCCTAATGTGAGTGTCGTGAGCCCCTTCTTTTCCGCGCGCTCGAACCCCTTCTTTCCACGGGTGCTAAACGACAAGCCGCGATCACAGGAGCTACTGGAATCTTCCCCGGCAGTCGAAGCCGCGCTTTCAAGCGATCCTGCAGAGCTGCCACCTGAGCATGCCTCCTATGGCGTGCAGCTTGCCCGCCCAGCCACACTGCGAAGGGCCTCGCCACACCACTCTCGAAATGTGAAAACGACAAAAATATGGCGTGCGCATCTGGCCATGTTGTAGCGGGACGTTCATTCTCATTATGCACATTCCGAGAGTGGTGTGGCGATGCCCGAAGTCCCCAACGAGGGCGACTCTCACTGGTACGGGCGATGAGAGCGTCCTTGGTTGTTGGACGGCTGCCCACGGAGGCAGGCAATTCAAAAGCAAGGTGCGAGAGGAGCTTCGGCATGCTCATTCTCGGTTCAAATGTTGCGAGGAGCGAAGTAGCTCCGCTTCAGAGAGGGCGCAGCGAGTCGGTACGCTTAGGAGGTACTCCATACTCGCCGGGAGAAGAAAAAGAGGAGAACATCGAGCACGTGGTGGTGGAGGGGTGGCAACCGGCGTCGTAGGTTGTGTGGGAGATCGCCATGGCTCCTACCGGTCGGGGTTGGCTGGCGGGTGCGATGCTGGCGCTGCTGTCCATTGCAGCTGTGGCGTCAGCCACTGAAGATCCCGCGTGTGGCGGGCTCCCGTTCGCCGCGGGTGTCTGCACCGGCAAAGGTGGTGAAGCTGACCTGGTGACGCCGAACACTGGCACGCTAAAGGCCACTGAGAAGGTTGGTGCGCAACCTCTTCCCCCCGTGGCTG